TCATGACTTAACAAGAGGATCCCCCCAAAGCCGTCAAACTGACGTCATCAGAGCCAGAACGCCATTCCCGAGCGGAAGCCAATTTTCAGTTTTTGATTAAAGATTATGACGGCAGACAATTTTTTTTCCAGTGTATTGACTTGCAGGGTTCAATTGTTCACCACAAGACTAGTATGTGCACTAAATTTCATGACAACTAATCATTTTCAATACCATTGGCAAAACTAACACATACTACTGTATACTGCCATATAGATATTTTAATATTTTACATTTTTTTTGCACATCCATTTTTTCAAGGCAATCATTATTTCAAGATCATTATTTCAAGCTTTACAATTGGTTTAATCCAAGTCTTTTAACTAGTCTTCTAACAATACACATTCGCTTTATATGATGAACAGATTTTAATATAGGCTTTTATTTACATACATATAAATATTGATCAATTACCATTACAAAAATCTCAATCTTAAACATTTGCTCATTCTGTGTATTTGTGTCTTTAAAATAGGGTAACTTTGTTGCAAAAGCTTACAGCACAAGGAATCTTGATTTCAAATTTGATTTCAAACTGAATTGAATTGGCAAAAAAGTACACATTCAGGAATAAAATTATAAAACAAATCACCTCAATTCTGTTGAGGTATCCGAAATATGACAACACTGAATTTTTATAAGCAGTGATTTAAGAGCCATATATGTTAGGCCTATTTATTTAGATAAATGGAACATCAGATGGCTTTGGCCTGTATACAAATCAGACAAATATCCCATTCCAGAACATTTCTAGCATAAACTTACATTGTAAAGAAATTAAAGTTCCATCTTTGATTGTTGAAAGACATTCCGGTGCACTTCACTTACAGTCAATAAAATTTCCAGTAGGATTTTCATCGATCAGGCGTGGATCTATTCTGAATGGTTGATAAATTTTGACAAAGTTTAAGCCATGAGCAAAGTTAAATAATTTCTACTTTAAAAGCACGGAGAGATCGCGATTGCACAGTCTGCGCACAAGCAATGTCGGAGTGAGAGGACAGGCAGTTAATTTGTATAAGTTAGGCCTATTTGAGAGCTCGCATCCAGTTTTCTGCGATTACATGACTGTGTTCTCATGTTACAATAAAGCGCTC